ACGTAATTAACTAAATCAGTATTAAAAACATAAGTTTCCTGTGATAAGGATAGTTGTCATTACAAAACCGTGGTCTTTTTTAAATTTTGTTTAATGAAACATTATAATAATCTCACTAAGGAAATTTACAATCCCAAAGATCCGAGAACATTTAAGTCTGTTTGTGTAAAGTGTCACACAACTCGCCCACTGAGCAGCTTGTCCAATCGATCTTGTTGCTAAATTTATTATGTCTGTCTGTTTCTTTGTTTGTAAGTCTGTTATTGTTTATACTTGTATTTTAAATGTTTTGGAATCCCGTTATTGGAGATCGAACTGATAGTCTCTGGGTGGTAATTCCAGCCATGTAGCCTATTTTGTAATTAATTTTATGTAATATAGTGTATTGTGTTCAACAGCAAAATCTAAAAATATATATATATATATATATATATATATATATATATATATATATATATATATATATATATATATATATATATATATATATATATATATATAGATATAGATATAGATATAGATATAGATATAGATATAGACAAGTATCGAGCTGATAAGATTAGATTAGAAGACAAACTTGAATTACTTCATATTTATTTACTTTAACTTTATATTTCACCACAAATTTGTTTCGTATGACAAGACGAATCTTGCCACACTCATCAGGTGAATTTAAATAACGCGCTATGTTGTTGCCTAGGATATACTTATATGTACACATACATATGTATATATATATATATATATATATATATATATATATATATATATATATATATATATATATATATATATACACTATATATATATATACACTATATATATATAACTACAGACGGTACCGTTTCGGCCTTTTGTGCCTCATCAGTGTACTGCTGATGAGCAGGATGAAAGTAACCTCACGAATGTGGGGCATCAAACCATTGCCAGAGTGCTTATATATATATATATATATATATATATATATATATATATATTTATATATATATATATATATATATATATATATATATATATATATATATATATATATATATATATATATATATATATATATATATATATATTATATGAATTTTGTGGTTTCCCACGTTTACGATTCCACTTGTGTAACGTTATGTAGCGGTTTTTGAGTTGTTTTCAGACGAGTGTATACCAAACTGGACAAGCAGAAAATTCTACTTGATCGCGGCTGGGATTCGAACCCGCGACCTTCGCATTTCTAGCCGATGCTTAACCTGAGTATTCGGCTCTATTTTACAAATAGAGCCTGACACAAAACTTAACCGGATCGCTTTCCACCCACAGCAAAGTTTATATTTAGTATCCAATCAAAATGTCGCAGAAGAAATTTAAATTTCACACAACGACAACAACAATCTAATTATAGCATACATGTAGGCAGCCCACTAAACGGCTGAATTTAAATGGCATCAATCTGACTTAGCAACATTCAAGTAACCAAAAACGTAAAATTAAAAAAAAGACTTTATATCACGAACTTCGTGCTTTTCGCATCTGACTGTATTCCGATACTTTAATAGAGTATAGCCTCCAGCAGAAAAACTCTTGGATTCTCAGGCACATTAATTATATATTGTAATAATTTACTCCAGATCCAAAACAATTTTACCCTTTTTTTGAAGTTGAAACGACCCCTGGAGTAAAACTAGGGAGTACAAATTACTCCATAATTTCTACTCCTAAACGCGAGTTTTGTTTACTCCTCCAGCGGAGTAAAATTGACTCCTGATGGAGTAAATTGTGGAATGCGCGCCGAAGTGGAGTAGTTTTAACTCTATTTTGGGAGTAGATTTTACTCCAGTATTTTTACTCTCCCGAATATATATATATATATAGTGCAGTTAGGAAATTTCGAGGCATGTTCCAACAAAAACGTTCGTCTTGTTTAACGATGTTTCGGGAGTGGGCGCCCTTGTGTAAGGTTGTCGATCATGTGCAATAATTATACTATTTTTCTTAGTGGCGTCCGCCTGGATTACCTCGTTAGACATGAAATGATTGTTCATGTGTCCCTTACACGATGCAAGAAGGATTCATTTAATTAAAAAATCCCAAATGTTTTTCGTTTTTCCGGCATTGTTCGTTATATCAGTTCATCCATTAAAATATTCACTTGAAATCGCTTTTTTAAAATAAAGAAGATAGAACGTTTTTCGATAGTTTGGTAAACGTATTACATATACCAAAGGATTTACGGCAAAATTAGTAAAATATACTGCATTAAAGATACCACTGACAATGTCATGGGCGAGCTTGTTGTTTATAACATGCAGACTATAGAATACTAAGGAAGGAACCAAACAAGCTAACGATATGCACGCTATAAGGATAATTGTTTTCAAAAATTTCTTTTCTTTAAGAATTCGTTTTTCTTGAGCACGATTTGCAGGCACGGTAGAATTTTGAAGAGCTAGGCATTTTGACTGTGTCATCAGGTTGAAATATGTTAAAGAATACATCACAGATGTAAATACGACTATTATTACACCAAACGAACTCAACACCAGTTGGTCATTTTCTTTTCTAAAGAACACTCGCTTTACGGGATAGACAATACAAACAATGCATAGACCAGCTACCCACACAGCGATCAGTTTTCCCTTCATCAATTGTCGATGTTTCAACGGGTACACTACCATTAAATAACGGTCAATAGAAATTGATAATATCGTTCCAGTAGATATATCAAGGAAATACAAGACAACGAACTTCAAAACCAATCGCCAACTTTGGACTTTAACGCAGAAATTAAAAGGTGCTGTTAAGCATATTAAAAAGTCAGACACCGCAAGAATAATCACGAGATACGAACCAGAATTTCTGAAACATCTTAACGGATCCTTGATAAAGCAATTCAGAAGTAATAGATGTGATATTCCTCCTAGGAAGCAAATACATATAGAAGGCACCATTTCGTAAGGTAATTGGAATGCTCCTGAGCTATTTGTTTCGGCCATATTGAATCTGCACCTGTTAGTCACAATTTGCTAAAAACCGCTTCATGGGATTCGTTTGGGGGTTTTGATTACAACTCATTGTTTAGTTTAGGTGCCTTGGTGTAAATAAAGACAGTATAAAAAGTATATTTTATATGAAATTTTAATTGAAAGCTGTCATTTTGCACAGACTTTAATTATTATTTATTTGTTTAATAATAACACATGAGCGGTCCTGCAGCTTATGGCGTCATATTACCGCCAATATTCATGTTCATATCAATTCAACATGTTTATCAAATTGATGAAGTTCTCACTATTGAACATCATAACTTCGCTATACCATTCGGATTGAACACTCGTGAAATTTCAACATGTTTTCGTATTTGATGTGAATTTCAATGTTGAACATGTCATATTCAGCATGTCGCTTTCAATTTAACACTCTTAGAAATTTACAAATGTTACTAATTTTTAATTAAAAACATTTTTAAGGTTTAAGTGTTAAAACAACATGAAAACGCGTAACTATATGAATTTGAGAAGTCAATTTTGGCGATTATACAAACACGGCGTGAAATGTCCGCCAATAGGGAGCTTAAGCATGCAGGACGGCAACACGACGACGACGGCAACCAATACAATGAGTCAATGAAAAGAAATAGATAATTAAAGCCCCGGGGGAGTTTCAGACGTAGTTGTCGTTCTGTTTACAACGGCAAATCACAGATTTTCACGTCGTTTATACAACGCCTGCATTTGAAGCCGTAACAAGTGCAACTTAAAATTCGGTTCAGTAGAACTCTTCCCAAACATAAAGCCATGTTTTCAACTTCTTATACTGTATTAAATTCATACGAATTATAATATACGACAAGTTTTCTTTACTATCATTTATTTGAAGGAATTTGTTTTGGCCATTGTCGCCGCGTTGCCGTCCTGCATGCTTAAGCTCGCTAATATTAATCCCCGAGCCGACGGCGCGAAGCGCCGTGCGCATGCGAGGGTACTAATTCGCCCCGGCTATTTACACCCGGGGAAACGAAAGCATTAGCGAAGTCTAAAGTTCACAAATAATCGCGGGCGTGGCTCACTGTGCGTGGGTGGTCATCCTCACTGATCTCAAAAATATGGCGGACTGTCATGAATAGCGAACACTGTGATTGGTCCAATTTAAAGTTTGCATTATAACGACTGCATGACGACAGCGAAATAGCAAACATTTCTTGATTTGATGATTGATAAATTTCTTGCAAATATATTTCATTTTTGCTCGCATTTTTGCAAGATTTTGTAAATTTCAAGAAAGAAAGGGCGAAAGAATCGGCTAAAAGAAGGGAGCCGACGTTAACGAAGGTAAGTTTGTTTTAAATATTGATTTTATAATTGCTTTAAAACCCGACGGCCTTTGCGTATATGAAACAACTAAACAAGACAGCATATAATTTTAAGTCAATTTATTCACAGAATTTTAAAGTTTATCGATATCATAAAGCCATTTAATTAAAGTTTAGCTTTATAAAGAACACTTTAAAACGTTTTGCGAAGCGTTTGTGCTTGAATTTTACCTTAAATTGAAGCTTATATTACCTATAATAACATACCTAACATATATAGGCCTATGTTGGGAAATTGATAATTTTGTATTTAAAAGTGATATTTTTAGGCGATTTTCCATTTGTAAGAATATTCTTAAAAAAATATCGTGTTACCATGACAACTACTTTAAACACTCCATGTTCGGAAAATACAATGGTTTTGTCAGCAAGGCCAGGGTTTCTGCATGCATGTATTTTCTAGTTAATTGAGATAATGCTAGATCCCCCTGCCTCGAATGTCATGCCTAGTCCTTTCTGGTAGACGCGGGCGTGCATCATGTCCACTGATCGTGTCACATTTCGTGTCACAGATAACAGATTGTCCTATACAGAATAGAAATTATATATGACGGGTTTTGTAAATGGAGTGGAAATGTTGAGTGAAGTTTTATATACAGGTAATAAGACCTAACCAGGAACAGCTGCGAAAAATGCAACAACAGGTCCCTGGCAGGAATCGAGCCTGCGGCCCTGCAATTCCAGAGCAGCGCTCTAACCAACTGAACTACAGAGGCCAGTTACTGAGCTCTAACCACAAGTTCATGTATATATAGAGGGTACTTCCATTTAATTAGGTATGGGTAAATATTAAATATTTTTTTGCATTTCACTTGAATGAATATAGTTGACCTGTAGTTGCAGTTTTTCGCAACTGTTCCTGGTTGGGTCTTATTACCTGTATACAAAACGTCACTCGAAATTTCCATGTGTAAAATCCGTCAACTATTCATTCGAGTGAAATGCAAAAAAAAATTTAATATTTACACACACCTAATTAAATGGCAGTATATACCCTCTATATATACATGAACTTGTGGTTAGAGCTCCGCAACTGCACTCTGTAGCTCAGTTGGTTAGAGCGCTGCACCGGAATTGCAGGCCCACAGGTTCGATTCCTCGGACCAGTAGTTGCATTTTTTTTTGCAACTGCTCCTAGTTAGGTCTTATTACCTGTATACAAAACTTCACTTGACATTTCCATCTACAACTACCCGTCAACTATTCATTCGAGTGAAATGCCAAAAAATATTTAATATTTACCCATAGAAATTATATATATAGATATAATCGTGCTTTACGAATAATTTTATGGCTGAATACACAAGGGCACTTATATATGGTAAGGATATTTTGGTTGTGGGAGACTTAAACTGCAATTTGTTAAAAACAACCCAAGAAGAGGAGGCATTGAGAGATATATCCTGTAGTTTAAATCTCGTGCAATTAATCGATAAACCTACGCGGGTAACATTGCAATCATCCAGCCTGCATGATAGATGTGATCATGACATCCAGTGAAAGTCTGATTGTGAAAAGTGGAGTAGTAGAAGTTAACATTAGTGATCATTTCTTGGTTAGTTGTGAACTTAATTTAAAAAGCCAAAACTAAAACCAACATATATCAATGCACGAAGTTTTAAAGATTACGATCGAAATCAATTTGTCATGGATTTAGCACAAATTCCTTGGCATGAAAATTTTTCAATTGACGATGCGAATGAAAAACTCTCTCATTTAATGGTCACTTTTTGAGTATCTTGGAAAAACATGCACCGGTTAAGAGCATGAAAATAAGATATCGCCGGTGTCCATTTATGAGTAGAGAGATTAAATAACTTATGAAAAATAGAGATAAATTACATAAGCTTGCACGACGAACCAAGATGACAACAGATTGGGAAAATTACCGTGTTTGTAGACAGGCTGTAAAAAAGGCGTTACGTGAATCTGAAAGGAATTATGCACAGAATGAAATTCATAAAAACTTAAACAGCAGTTCTATGTGGAAAGTTATAAGGAACTGCCTACCCCGTCAACGGAACTTAAGTATTCAAGAAATATCACGGAAAGTGGAGGAGTTCAATTCGTTTTTCACGACAGTGGGAATTAAAGCATCAGAGTCTGCTACTGCACTTTTAACTAAATATAATCTACCAACCATAGACTTACCAGTACCTGCTCAAATTCCTGTGTCAGATCAATTTCATTTCCATCCGGTTTCATGTAGTGATGTACAGCAGATCACCATGTCTTTTTCCTCAAATAAGGCACCGGGATTAGATAAAGTCCCAATGAGTATTATCAAAAATGCCTTACCATGTATCCTCCCTGCGTTAACAGATATTGTTAATTGTTCATTGCTTACGTCCGAATATCCAACATTATGGAAGATGGCAGAAGTAATTGTTCCCCTCTTAAAAGATGGGGATCATGAGATCGCAGACAATAATCGTCCTGTGTCTTTGCTAATTGCAGTATCAAAGATTTGTGAACGAGTTGTATTGAATCAATTGACTGACTATATGTCACAAAGGAAAAGATATACTGAACACCTAAGTGGCAATCGAAAATTACATTCTACAGAAACATTAAACATTTTTATAACAGATCAAATCTTGCAGTCTATGGATCGTAAAGAAGTTACGGCCTTAGTTTTAATAGACTTATCCAAAGCATTTGATAGCATAGATCATTCAATTCTACTAGTGAAACTTCAAACCATTGGTGTGTCTAATTCAGTGTTGGCATGGTTTAAAAGTTATCTATCGGGACGAAGCCAAATAGTACGTATTGGGTCGACATTGTCGGAAACATGTATTATAACTCGAGGGGTACCTCAAGGATCTATTCTTGGGCCGGCATTATTTAACATATATATTAATGACCTACCCAATGTTCCAAAAGAGTCCTCTTTGGAATCTTATGTGGATGATTCGAAAATCTATCTGGCATTTCCAATTCAGAATATTGAAACTGCTGCGTTTAAACTTACACAAGATATGGAAAGAATTACCGCATGGTGCTGTATAAATAGTCTGCTAGTGAATCCAAAGAAAACGAAACTTCTATTACTGGGTACAAGTCAAATGCTGAAAAAACTCTCTGGCACAGATTTCCATATAACTGTTCTTGGTGAGAAAATAATCCCACTTCAGACGGTTAAAGATTTGGGAATGACTTTGGATTCAAGTTTGACTTACGACAAACATATTGTCGATACCGTCTCAAAATGTATCACTGAATTATGCCAAATCAACAGAGTTAAGCATATTTTCGACAAACACACTTTATCCCTTATTATAAATGCACTGGTCTTCAGTAAAATGTATTATTGTTCCTCCGTTTGGTCGAACACCTCGAAAAAGAATATATCAAAACTGCAAAGCGTGCAGAACTTCGCGGCACGCGTTATTACTGGAATCAGAAAATATGACCATGTGACGCCTATCCTTCAGCAGTTAGCTTGGCTTCCAGTTGAGTGTATGTTAAAACTCAGGGATGCGGTTATGACATTTAAGTGCATGAAAGGGTTAGCTCCGCCATACTTGTGTGACAAATTCGAAATGAGATTAAAGATCCACAGTGTTAACACCAGAAATAAGGATAAGTTAAACATTCCACTGTATAATTCGGCTTCTGGACAGCGAACGTTTCATTATCGCGCAGTGTCTATTTGGAATGAGCTCCCAAATCATATTAAAGACATTGACACTTTGGACCGGTTTAAAATAGAATATAAACGTCATTTATTGCATGGATTTTTAGAAAGTAGTTAATAGTTTTAGACAATTTGGACTTGTTTAAATTAGCATATAAACGTTTTTACTGTATGGATTTTATTAGGAAGTAGTTAATCATTTTTAAAGTGACATTACTAATAATTATAAATTTTTAATTTGTGTTTGTATGTATATACGTATGTTTGTGGGTGTATATATATATTGTTTGTAGTATATAAATGATTTGTAATTACCTGCTGAAAAGCCCTTCTGGGAGCAGGCAATGTTGTAATAATAATAATAACTGGTTTATATTCAAAAGATCTTAAATGAAGTATATGTAGCATGTTTGATACGTAGAACAGCTGAACACAATATATTCCCGCCATAAACTCAATTAGCTTAATTTAGCGCACAACGGGCGTAATTTTATGGACCGCGGAGCAGGGGGGGAGTGAATAATTTTCCATACATATGTGATTTTTATAAACTAAGAGCACTGAAATCTTTCAGATCAGTTAACAATATGTTTATAACTTATATAGCCAAGTATTCAATCTATTTCTGGTTGGATTAAGCAAATGACGGTAATATTAGATTAAGAGTCGTCTATTAAGGAACTTTTTAACAGCAACTAGTAAATTTGATTGCATTTCCGGCGCTCTGGGAGGTCTCATTTTTCAAAATTTCCCAGGAGAGAATACCCCCGGAACCCCCTAATAAACTCATGCCTTCGGCGTTCGCTATAGCCCCCTTAATCCAAAAATGGCTACGCGGTCCCTGAATTTAGTTGACCTCCATCGGAAATTTTACAAGCTGCCATGGCTAGCATGTGGTCGGTCCAAGCTCGTTCGTCAGTCGGTTGAAATGACCTTACACCCCCCCACCCCCCCTGAAGAATTTCCTGAGGACAGCCCTGCTCAGGGATGAGATGCTTCGGTGTAAATTGGTGTCGTCCGCGTAGAGAGCTGTATTAGTTCCATTCCGAATAATTTCAGGAAGATCGTTGATGCAAATAACAAATAATAAGGGACCCAGAATGCTTCCTTGGGGGCACAGTGGAGGTGACAGGGGACCACTGAGATACAGGACCGTCGACCATAACACTCTCAGTTCAAATAAAAATTGTCGGTCGAAATCACATTCTTCCACCGTTGGTTTTGAAAATACTTTGTTATATAGTTACTGTCAAAGTTCAATTTTTCTGTTTGCCGATTGGTCAAAACCGTGTCACGTGCCGGTCCACAAAACGTCATGTTCGGCAACCGGTTCGCAATGAAACATTTATTGACCGGTCAATATTAAAATGGGTGCAATAGCATGCGTGCATGTCAACCATGAAGTTCCAAAGTTCATTTTTTAAACTTTTTACTATTATTTACGGCGTTCCATTTATCCAGTTTTGGTTTCCAATAACCAGTGAATTATCCATACTTTGACACATATTAGTTATATACTATATAACAAAACACTTGTTTACTGAGACCTCGGTCTCTGGTCCACAAAACACACTGTTTCCCTCGATCTCGATCAGTAAATAAGTGTTAACTAATTATGCAAAGTTAAGCAATCCAAAAGCAACGCGGGCCTGCTGCAAGGTATTTGTTTCGTAAAACGTTTTGATTACGAATGTTCTCTGTTCAGTGGTTAATTGAACCATGTTTTATGCAATAATAGACGTTCTTATTTGCCTCACTGAGATGAAGATTGGCGAGTTGAGGTCATTTTAGATAATTTAACATTCAACTTTAATTCCCTCTTGGGAATTGTCTATGTTTCGTTTTCCATGCAATTCCCAACGGTGCATGAAGAATGTGATTTCGACCGGCAATTTTTATTTGACGAGTATGTGGCCATTTCTCATCGTTACGATTTAAAAGAGTATTATTAAGAAGCTAAATAATTGTTCTTTCGTCCTATGTAAAAATTGAATTGTTTAGCCACGTTTATGATGCACGACAGCCAGTTGAATTTTTATAGCATTTTTTTTGGACACCCTGGAGATATGTCCGATAATTTCGTGTCGGCAAAGGAAACGAGTCGTCAAATGTGTCATCGTTTGCGTTAGCAGCTCTGGGTTGTGAAAACGTTGAAGAAAAATAACGCTTGAAAAGGTTCGCCTTATCAGAAGAAGTTTTAGCTGTTGTGTCGCCATACGAAACCACAACAGAGAAAGTCTATTATATTAATTTGCTATGTAGGGCGTTATCGCGATTCTTCATACGCTACCGGATACGGGAAAAGTTAGATCTTTCAATTATACATTATCGTCAAATCAAAGCTTGCTGCATGCTAGTACAAGTGGCCGGCACGAGCAGAGATCGAATATTTCTTATGGTTGTCTTGTTATTTGTCCTCTAATTCAAGACCACATATAGCTGAGGCTACATCACTTTCTTGGCATTG